CTAATTATAAAAATATTTTAAGTGAAAGAAGGATGCGCCTTTCTGAAAAATCTATTTCAATGCTTAATTTTTTATATGGTGTAAACAGCTTAGTCGCATCAAATGGCTAAGCCACTGCTAAAATTTATATTGATCATTTCTATATTTAATTCGCGATTTCATTGGTCGAAACCATTCATGTGATAATTTTTCAGTCACGTGATCATTTTTGATCATGTGAAAGTCATTAATATCACGATATTTCACGTCATTTTACGATAATTTTTTTTTAACTTTTTTATTCCAGTTTAGCAAGATTATAATGCCAAAAGTAAATAAACGTATCAGACAGTCTCAAGAAGCCATTAAGAAGCATTGGAAGCAAGCAAAAGCTTTTGAAGAGGCAATAATTAAATTATCAGATGCTGAATCCAATAAGTTTGATGAACTATTATTTGATATATTTTAGATGGAAGGTGAGGAAACATACTTTGATAGTGATGAAATTACAGATGAAATGAAAGCATTGCAACCAAATACACTAGAACAACTAGTTGAAAATGCAAAAAAATCACATGTATAGGATGTAAATGCACGTAAGCTAATATATAATGGTGCTGCATAATCAACATTGCATAATAAAAGAGCATATTGGAAAAAAGCGGCTTTGGATTCTAAGAAGATTACCGAAATGTTTCCAATAAATGAAGCTGAGCCCGCTAAACCTAATATAGATCTTACATTTGAGGACACATATGACAATAGTGATGATGATAAAGATTTTACCTTAAAATCTTTAGATTTATTATTAAAAAAAAATAAAGATGATTTGCGACTTTGAATGGTAAGTCAATTTCTCCATTTAGTTCAGGACCAAGGATTTACAAAAATGGATGCAAGTAATCTTCTTGCCCAGAGCTTAAACAAAGGTCCATGGCAAGCACAGCTTATCCGCTTTTAGGCAAACTAATGGCTTAGCAATGGTATGATTGTTTCATCTAAACGTGGCCGTTATGCAAAGATCAGATCTCTGCTACTTCATGAGGATCTCAAGTTGCGAGTTATTGAATATTTACGCACATATAAGTTCAAGTTAAATGTTGCCGATTTTGTAAAATTCATTGAGGATAAGGTTATCCCTGCTCTTAGGATAGAAAGAAAGACAAAGATCTCATGCTCAACTGCGCATCAATGGCTACATATACTTGGCTGGGAATATAAAGACCACTTAAAAAATATTTATTTTGATGGTTATGAACATAAAGATGTGGTAGCAGATAGGTAATGATTTGTATAGCGATTGGCAGAATTGCAAAAGCAAATGGCTACTTATGAGGGTGAAAATTTAGAACAGGTTATCTTACCTGTACTTCCCCATGGTATTTCTGAAATCGTTCCTGTTACTCACAATGAATTGATCTTTTACGCCAATGATAATGTCGTCAAGGCTTAGGGTCCAGCAGATGAAAGTCGACTTCGTCACAAATCACAAGGCCTTAGCATTCACATAAGTGACTTTCTCTGTGAGTCTATCGGGAGACTTCAACTTTCAAATGAAGAATGTGTCATTAATGATTCACTTCCTGATGGTGAGCGGCTTGTGTATACTGAAACTTGCATTACAATGTATTCTGATACAAATTGTGATGGCTGATAGACAAATAAAGATGTTGTTAAATAAGTAAAAGAACGAGCAATCCCAATATTTGAACGTACTCACCTGGGAAAAGTTGCATTGTTTTTGTTCGATAACAGCTGCAACCACAATGCATTTGCCGATGATACATTAATAGTTTCAAGATGAATATGAAGGATGGTGAAAAGCAACCACTTCTTCGTGTTGGTAAAATGCCCGACGGTTCACCTCATATTATGATGTTTGTGGATGTTAATGGAACAGTAAAACTCTAAGGTATCCGACGAGTTCTTGAGGAGCATGGTTTATGGATACCGAGTTTGAAAAGAAAATGTAATGTGTGTACACAACATAATCCTGATCCAAATAAACTAGATTGTTATGCATCACGCATCCTTTCTGCTCAACCTGATTTTGCATCACAAAGGATACATCTACAAGAGGTAAGTTGCAATTAATTTAAATATGTATTCCAATATTACAATATAACTAAAAAAATACTTATCTTTAGGTTATCGAAGCCGCAGGACATATGTGCATGTTCTATTCAAGATTCTACTACGAGCTTAACTACATTGAGTCCTTTTGGGCGAAGGCAAAGCGGTACTCACGTCTTAACTGCAATTATTTGTTCAATGATCTTAAGGAAGTTGTACTGCGTGCATTAGATTCCATTAGCCTAACTAAAATTCGCTGGTTTTCACGTCATTCTGCACATTACATAAGTGCTTATGAACTTGAACTTTCAGGTAAGGCGGCTGTCTTTGCAGTTAAACGTTATCGATCCCATCGACGGGTTCCTGCAAACGTTTTGGAAGAATTCGGAGATATGTAAAATAAAATTTTCGAGTTGCGATTAACTAATTATATGTTGTATGTGATTTTATACGCACTAATCATGTCCTTTCACGTGATATTTGTGGTGCTGAAAATTCCACTATTACTATTAAAATTGACGCTACAAAATTTTTAACTACGAAAAATTTTTATAATAAAATTTAAAAAAAAAATACGTTGCGTTAAAGACCATATCAAGAGCTATCAAATAACGTATTTTTTTTTAATATTTTTATAATTAAATAAAATTCCTTTAAATTTTAAAGTTGCTAATAAATATTGGATGCGACTAAGCCGTTTGCATCATATTATAATAAAAATAAATAAATTGATTTTTTTTGCGAATCATTTTTACTTTAATAATTTTACCTAAAATTTAAAAATTTAACATAATTTTTACCAGAATTATGAACACATATTATCGCATATTTTATTTATTAGCATATACATATTTTAAGATTTACCACCACATATTTCTGGACACCCTAATAGTAATAACCTTACTCCAAAACTTCTCTTACCCGAACTGCACATTTGTGATACGTTGTTTAGAAATCTGAAAATACAAAACAAAAGACCTTTTCAATTTTTTACAGAGAAAAGGCTTACAACTTAACGACACACACCTCAGAATTTTGCTTGAAGAGGAGATAGACAGACCCGCTTTTCTTTTGTTGAACGAGAAAAATCTTAAAGAAAGTAGTTTTAAAGTAGGAACAGTTGTAAAACCCGCAGATTTGATTGTGAAACTTAACGGTGAAGAGCGGGGTAACTATACGACTACGTTCTAATCTCCCAAACCTTTACTGTTATTGTCTTAACCTGTCTTACCATCTATATCATTAGCGTCATTACCTCAAGATGAGTCACCAATCACTGGAGTAGTCGTTGAACCGCTTCATAAATCAATTTCAACTGAAAGAATTCCAGATACATTACCTCTACTTCTAGAAAATCAACAAACACCTTACGTGAAGAGCCAAACAATCGCTCAATCATTGCATCCAAATTTAAAATTAAAAGGATCATCAATAGAAAAGGTTGAGTATCCTAGCGACATTAATGAAAATAACACTTATTTACCTGAAACTGCGTCAGGGCTCCTCCGTTATTACAGTAAGAATTTGCAAATATATTATTTATTAGTAAGATTATGAAGTGTATATTCATTCTTCACATTCTGGCAGAACTTTGGAACTGCCACTACACTAAATGGTCAAGCCTTAACGAGTTTTCTGAACATCTAAGCGATGTCAAAAAAGACTGTGTACATTTTTCATTTAAAAAAGGGATTGCGGTTTTACGAAAGTTATTTGTAAAGGATCATCCCGCTCAGCTATGACTTACACAACTAGAGGAACAACTAAAGGTAATGTATTAATGTATCGGTAATGTATTGAATAAGAAGAAACAGTCTGAAGACTGAATCTTATGCAGGCCTTGCGCTTGTTGGTGAGTGGGCTGTGTGCTTAATTGGGAAGTTCTCGTTTATATAAGCCAAGAACATAAAGTTTAGGTTATTTCTAAAGGGATATTGTGTCTAGCTATAATTTAGTACAGAAAAGGCCAGTGTGCTTGTGAGCGGAACGCGTTTTCGTGGGATAGGACGTGAACTCATCTAATTAAATTATAACATTCCAGACTCTTTATGAGTCACTTTGACATTTATCTAGCTGTTTACATTGGTTAATCAATCTGTAATTTTAATTTATCTTAGATGTGTCAGACAGCAAGAATTATAAAGAAGGTAACAAGAAAACAAATAGCCAATGCAATTAAATTGCTTACCAAAGAAGCGACTATAAAGAAGGAACTAGAAATTGTCGAGGTTAGAATATTTTTTTATTGAATTATTTTTGGTGGTTATACGATATAAGCTTATCTCTTACAGAATATTCCAGGGTTCCGTAATTGTCAATGGATATCACAGGATCAATAAACATTATGATGATTTTCATGAAGCAAGTACGCAATTGATTAAACGTAAGTTATCGACCAACTCTGATGGAAAAGTAGATGGGTTAAAAAAAGCTAGAAAGTAAAAAGAAGTATTGGTAACAATAAACTATCTCATAAATACAGTAGCGGTCATAAGTATCCGACCGCCCGAGATCATCCAAAATTATTATATAACTACCCCTTAAATTTTCCA